CTATACAGTATAGCTGTAACAACATTGATAACAGCATTGGTGTAAATGTAATGCCGCAGGGAGAATGAGGGGCTTTTGGGGGCACTTGTGTTTCAGTTTCACCATCATAATGCCCCTAAAAATCCTTATTGCTCTTGCACTAATCTCCAGCCTACTTTAATGTGTTGGTTTCTGGTTGAAGCTAGCTCTAAAGTGAAAAGGTGAGGCATTGTGGTAATTTTTTTAAGTTAAAGTAAAATGTCATATTTATAGCAGACCATATTCTGTTAAGCTCCAGATCCAGTATAGATTACCTGGAGGTGACTTTATTGCTAAGATTGTTCTTCAGGCTTACTGGAAGAATCACTGGTAACCATTACAGCATTACAGGCTATCTATGTTTGGTATGTTTGGGTTGTGATGTATGGCATTCAAGGCAACAATGATTGAGCTCCTTGCTGATAGTTCAAAGATGACTTAGGGCACAGATTGAATATCATTCAAGCTGTCATCTAGACTATATCTAAGTTTAGGGTCCTTTGCTTAGCCTGAAAATGTTATCAACAGTATAATTTTTTTACTTGCTGATAAGAAAAGAAATGTAGTAGTTGGATCTCCTAAAATCGGTTTTGAAATGCCTCTGAAATCCAAGAGAAATTGGCAGGGATCGTGACAGAACAATTTCCTTGGATTTCATGTAATGAAGGTATGAACAGTTTAAAAAAAATCACTCTTTAACATAACCTTAACCACTTGTAACATTGTAGGGTTTTGTAAATACTAGGGTTGTGACAAATGTGACACTCTTTTCCTAGTTCAGATTTTTGGGGCTAGTCTCAGGTCTTTTTGTGCAGTTTTTGAGATGTAGTTGAAGTGAAAAAATTGCTGAGACCTGTCACAAGTGTGCATAACCGATCATGACCCTATCAGAGAGCTCATGTTTAATTAGATGTGTTTCATTTCTTTACATTCTAGTGCACAGCTTTTGGTTGCTGTTTTGCTGTTTTGAGCCTGAATGGATCACACAGACACTATCATTATTAACTTTCAATTGGTATATGTTTTAACCTACTGAAAAGCCAAACCTAAGGTGCATTTCCAGACAATGCTTATTTGTGCTATTATCAAAAAGGTATGGTATCGACACTCCACCGTATCAATGTCAAAGTCAGCTTTATTGTCATGTTTAGTACACCGCATGGCAATGGATAAAAACGAAACAGTTCTTTCAGTAGACTACCATGCAACATATAATAGACATTGACAAGGACTAAAAGACAACAGTAAATATGGACAATAAACACAGACGATAATACCATAGGATTACCCAGAGTCAAACAAAAGAAATAAATATTTATACAATCGCAATTCTGAAAAAGTTGGGACAGTATGGGAAAAAACAAACAAAAAGAGTCATTTGAAAATTCAATTAACCCTGTGCTATATTGAAAAACACATTATTAACATGTTATTTGATGTTTTACTGTGAATTTAGTTTATTTTTGAAAATATACACTCGTTTCAAATCTGATGACTGCAACATACTCTAAAAAAGTTAGGACAGTCGATTGTTTACCACTGTGTAACATCAGCTTTTCTTTTAATAACACTTAAGCATTTGGACGCTGAGTGAAGACACCGGTTGGATAAGTTTAGCAAACGGAATTATTTCAACCATTCATCCATTTTGCATTTCTTCAGCTGCTCAACTGTATGGGGCCTTCATTGCCTTATTTTGCGCTTCATAATGCACCACACATTCTCAATCAGAGACAGGTCAGGACTGCAGGCAGGCCGTGCTAGCACCCACAATCTCTGCTTACGCAACCATGTGCATGTAATCTGGGCAGAATGTGGTTTGGCGTTGTCCTGCTCTGGATGGCAGTGTATGTTGCTCCAAAATGTGTATATATCTTTCTGCATTAATGGTGCCCTCACAGATGTGCAAGTTACCCATGCCATGGGCACCGACACACCCCCATACCACGACAGACTCTGACTAATGTACGCTGAGTTTTGAGGACACGATGGCTGTTTTGTCCAAAAACTATTTGAAATGTTGACTCGGCGGACCACAAAACACATTTCCACTATGCTACTGTCCATCTCAGATGAGACCGAGCGCAGAGAAGTCAGCGGCGCTTCTAGACAGTGTTGATGTATGGCTTCTGCTTTGGATAGTAAAGTAACTTGCATCTGTAGAATGGTGTTGAGTGTCAGAGGTTTACCAAAGTATTCCCGAGCCCATGTCAGGATATCCATTACAGACTCATGACGGTTTTTAAGACAGTGATGTCTGAGGGATCGGAGATCACGCACATTCAGAAGTGCTTTTCGGCCTTGCCCTTTACACACAGAGATTTGACCGGATTCCTTGAATCTTTTAATTATATTGTGCACTGTAGAAGGTAAAGTGCCCAAAGTCCTACCGATTTGTCTTTGGTGAATGTTGTTCTCAAAGTGTTGGATTATTAGCTGACACTATTGGCAGATTGGTGAGCTTCGACCCATTCTTGCTCTTGAAGGGCTAGACCTTTTTTAGAGGCTCCTTATATACTATGATTAGACGATTGCCTCACCTGTTTCACATCACCTTCTTTCTTCAACCTGTCACATTGCTTTTAGTCCTAAATTTCCCCTGTCCCAACTGTTTTGGAACGTGTTGCATGTATCAATTATCAATTTCAAAACTATGCAGTTGATTAGGTTAAATATCAAATACCTTGTCTTTATACATTTTTTTTATTTAAATGCAAGTCAAAGTACATTTACAAATCAATCCTCGTTATTATCATTTTCCATACTGTCCCAACTTTTTCGGAATTGGGGTTTTTAAATAAAACAAACAAGTCAGGTAAGTAGGAAATATATATGAAGTGTAGTAGCAGTGGGGAGATGGTGATACGTACAGCTAAAAAAAAAAAGGCAATTCTACATTCGACAGTGGTATGATTTATTAACATTGTATAAATATTAAGTGAATAAATATATATGCAGTTATTGCACAGCTAAATCCTAAATGGACTGACTATTGCTAAGTCAGTTAGTAGCTGAGTCTCAGGCCATTTGTTAAAATGACTATAGTATCGTATCGAGTTTAAATTGTGTGTATCGTTACATCCTTGGATATTTATTACATTTGCATTTTACATTTATTCATTTAGCAGGCGCTTTTATCCAAAGCGACTGACAAATGAGGAAATTAATAATTAACGTGCAATTGTTAGACCATGTTGCTAAAATTATATAAATATTTTCAAACAAGGATTTACATTATGAAGAGGAGTAATGCAGGACATTTAAGGTGGAATTAAGCATGTGATATTAAGCAAGCTTCATTTATTATTATTATTTTTTAACTTTTTTATTTATTTATTTTAACTACTAATCAAGCATTAATAAGGCAAAAGATAGAAAGGGCATTTTGTGTTCACACAAAACCTCCGTATTTTTTTCTCATCAAACATTGTTTTTGTTGTCGTGGGTTGAGTCCCCAGGTTAGTTGCTTACAGCTTGGGTGTATCACTGTGTGGTTTTAACTGTAATGCCTTCTGGGAGCTCCATCTGCTAAGTTGGCTAAATTGTAATGCTTCCATCTATCCACACATCTCTAAGTACATCATCCTTACTTTTATGTCTCTACAGTTTGCATCAAAGGATATACAGATGGCTTTTTAACTAAGGCCAGTGTGCATGGAGGGAATAGATGAAAGTATTCCAGGCACAGGAAATTCACAGCTCCATGCAAAATAGAGAGAGACTTGACAGAATGCCCAGGTCATTTACACTTGTCATGCATAATTATGTGCTATTGCCCACAGCCATAACTGACAAGAGGACAGTATGATTAGACAATTTATCGTCTTCTACAATAAATAATCAAACTAACATGATGAGCTATTACATGACATGGGAATATCCAGTTTTGCCAGGAGTTTTAGTGCATGTAGAATTAACAGCACCATGACAGTGGAAATGTTTTTAGGGGAATGTTGTTGGGGGAAAATCAGGTACCTTAAGCAGGTGATACTAGCAAGGTGCATTGCTTTGAAACCACTTCTAATCAAGTGAACAAGTTTTTATTAACCCTGTGATGTTCAATTCACAAGATAGACTTTACTGCCACTTTCAGGCACATTTGTGAGGTTGTGTCCTAGTTGTAAACATGATGCGATTCCAAGAATCTTACTTGCCATTTGGATGGGAGAGTTTTGTTTTAACTTGCCACACTGTGAGAATTTTTCAGTTACCTTTCACACATTTATATGATAGTACTGATATTTTTGACTCAGCTGACTGGTATTCGTTATATTCGTTATATAACAGTTACTCGGCCCAGGAACTCATTTGGCTGACTGGGTCTGCGCCAACTATTTTCAGCTGACAAACTTGAAATAAAGTCTCCTCATTATTTCCCATTGCAATGATAAAATGCAGTCCTGAGTGTTTATTAAATAGACAGGCACATTTATTTAAACTTTTAATGCTGAAAAATATTTGTGGAACTATAAAATTATATCCAACTACTGAAACTGAAACTTTTTGTGTGAAGGTAATTAAGGATACTGAATGATCTCCAAAGTTAGTTTGGACACGTGATATAAAATCTGGAATTTTAGGAGGAGCAATTTGATTATTTGAGCTAGAGATAAATTTCTGATGTAATCTGTGGAGAACATTGTAGAAAAGGATTTTGTATGAACCCTGGGCTCTAATATATTTTAACCCTAAATATACAGACATATGCACCATTAGTTATCTAATTCTGTGCATAAATTTAAATGAATAACTTTTACTAAAAGCAAGTTAAATTCAATGTATTGGACTGTTATAACCACCGTTAAATAGCTACTATGAGAAAATGAGGTTTTACTGTTACTAACAGTTTAGATCTGAATAATGCTAAATTCTTCAGAGCATCACTGAGAGTAAATATACAAAATGTGGTAAATAATGTAATTACGGGAGTCGTGGTTTAAGGAAGTCTAAGAAATCCATAAAGTCTTGGAAATTATTTTGCTTACCAAATAGCAAACTGGTAAGGTGTTGGTCTTGCAAACCAAAGCTCATGGGTTCAAACCCTGTCTGTGCATTTAAAGGTGTTGATGGCTTAACAGTTAAGGTTCTAGGTTACTGATCAGAAAGTTTGGGGTTGAAGGTTTGGGCATTGCCGAGCTGCCAGTGTTGGGCCCTTGATCAAGGTCCTTAACCCTATCTGCTCCAGGGGTGCTGTGTCATGGCTGACCCCAGCTTCCTAACAAACTGGGGTATGCGAAAATATAATTCACTGTAATGTAATATATTTCACTGTAATGTGACAAATAAAGGCTTCTTCTTCTTTGTTTTCTAACTTTCTGACTGAGTGAATTTGACCCAGCACAAATTAAATGACTAAATATGAAATTTTTTAGATCTCGGTGTCAGCCCTGTAGAATCTGCATTCCATCGTGGTGTCCTTCTTTGGACCTGCCATTAAGGAGGTTTCGAAATCATAAAGCCAACATGGATCGTTCACATAGCACCTTTAGGACACCACACCCTGACTCCATGTCCTAATGCCTACAAGAGGCCCGCTGCCTTGTCTACTCCATGAAGGATGTCCTAGATAATATTCACCCACCACTAAATAATGTTGCAGAGCATGCCCTTGAAGGTTAGGGGCTGGCAATGGGGCACATTACAATCAAGACTGGCCTCACTGAGAGCAACTTGTCCTCTGGGTGCCACAATAGTATGGTGGAGACAAAATGGTAGCCTAGACCTGGTAGAGGGTTGCTCAGGTGCCGTGGACCTTTTCTCCAGTGCCATATCAACATATATATTCCATTTGTTCTGGCAGAGGCAGACAGTCTGCTAGGACAGTATTCCCTGGCCCAAAACTGGCTTCACCACATGTTATGTACTTTACTGCTGATTGTTCCCACACTGTAGAGGATTCAGCAACTACTCCCCAGTCCTGTGTGTAGCCATGGTTCCCAATGCTCATTTCACTAGTTGTCAGAACAACCTGCTGCATACTTCTCTGAACAGATGTCTCAAATGAATGCTGAACAGGTCACCTGTGTCTGATGCTCTTGGGCTAAATTTCCATTGTATGCCGTTGAGTAGAAGCATCTCTGCAAATGGTGTTTGGACCTGATGCATTGCCCAAGACCTAGGATCCATACTTTCCATCAGTAGACATGGTCAAACCTGGCATATAGATGAGCTGTATGTCCAGAACTTACAGTGGCATGCCCCTCTACAAGGTCTGTCTCATCCTATGACTTATATAGTGATGTGTTGCTGCACAACAATGTTTGAGCAATGAAATGAATACTACATAATTCAATGACAATAATGGTCCTATGTTGTTTTGGCTTAGGTTGGGATATGTTTTTGCAAAGCTGAATCCAGACATATAAACTGTCTGTTGAATGGACGTGCAGCAAATCAGCAACAAGCGCATCTCGAGGCTGCCGTACATCAACTTGCAGGCAGCCACATACCGATGCTATGATTTCTGTTTGAATGATAAGATTTTCTTGAATGTTAATTTGAAATTATGGACAAGCTCTTACTCATCTGTTGGGGGACGTCCTACGGTGACTCCTGTTCTGCATGTTGGTATATGTTATCCTTCCTCCATCCTCCTAATTAGGAAGAGTTAAATACAACACTAGTTACTTATGTAACTGTGGTTCTATGAACCCTGGATAACTGCCAAGGTTCATGTTCATTTGAAATCTGTGCCAACTCAGTAAAAACTTTTTAAGGGATGATTGCTGTATGATGACAGTAGTTATTTTATTACTATCTTTTATGGAAGAGCTGGTTATGTATGTGCATGCACATAAAAACATATCCAGTTATTACATTCTGCCATTTACTATAACCAATTATACATGCTAACTAGATCTGCTGCAAGAAATCTTATGTAACTAATGACTGAAGAACTGAAGTAGTGTCAGATATTATGCAGTTTATAGGCACCTTAAATAAATTACAAATCAATTCATGGTGTCTTTAAATTAATCTATGTAAGTTTTATCTATGTAAGTATGTTGCACCATATCAGGTGTATCCTATTTTAATTATAACTACCTGTTTTACCTGTTTTAGAGATTACAATATCCAGTAATGCGTTACTTCCCAAAATAATGATGTGTAGTAGGCAATAATGGAAGAGTGACCTAAATTTTGGCCCAGTTCACCTTCATTATAGGCCAGTAAGAGATCTGAACTGGGCTCTCCTGAAGTTTAGAAATAGATCAACCACTTTATAAAGGAAGTGCCAATTATTTCCTTCAATGCTGGTCTGTAAAAATGTACTGGCTACTCATATTCAAAAACCTATTTTGAGGTTCCTGTTAAATTACAATGTTCCAACTAAAATAATACAAAACACTAATGTTGGAATTAAATAATGAACATTTTTATGGATTTACAACTTTACAGGGTGTTCCAAAATGCCAGCACCACGTCGGTTGTGCCTTCTTCAGTGGATGTTCGTAGACGTCCACTTCTTCTCAGTCGGTCCGTAACGCTTCCAGTCTTTTTGACTTTCTCAATAAATTTGGTGACAATGTCATGTGTGATGTGCTCGGCGTGTTTCCTGTTAAAGTCCATCGCCACCTTCCGATCCAGCCGTGAGAATAATTTCAATACGTTCTTCTTTTGTCAAATGCGTTCTTAAAGGCTATCTGAAAAAGATTTACATATATAATATAAACTAAATATATGGAGACTCTACAGGAGACCCTGTATAAATGGTATTGTACATAATCGTAATAATCCAATGTACATAATAATCATTATCCAAAAATGTATGTGTATGTTTATAATCATGAAATATATGATCAGCTTGTAATGTCAAGGGTCCTAGGTTCGATATTGAGATCTGGTTGCTGTCCGTGTGGAGTTTCTGTGCATGTTCAACCCTCGTCCCAGTGAGTTTCGTCCAAGTGTGTTAGGCTCCAGGATAAAGAGGTTACTCAACGTGAGTGAGTGTATATCACCCTTGTATTTGCATTTCATAGTACTTTAAATCTTGTATAAATGTCCAAACTGAAGCTTTGTGATTCTGTAGCACTGTGTTACTGTTAACTTGAGAACTGTTTTTAAAAACTCTGAGTGATGGTAAATGTGTCTACACAGGGCAAATTATTGAAGTGAATGTCTATTGTAAGTATGCCAACAATGAGCTAAATAAATTTATAAAAAATCAATTAAAATAGCCTTTAGCATCTGCTTTGACTAACAAATACACAAAATGAACATGATAGCCTGTATTAAACTTATCTTGTTATAATGTGTGCCTAGAATAGATGGATAAGATAGAGAGGTTTTTGTACAGATATATATTTGTTTAATAACCCTCAGGTCAGATTGGTTTTAGTGAGAGGTTCAGATGGGAAAGTCATTATTGACACCTCACACAGCCAAGAGGCGCCTACCAAACTGGACTGTCTCCAGATAACACGGTGGTGCCGAGTCAAACACTTTTATTATTACTTATTACTATTCTTAAATATTTTTGCAACAACATATTTGTATTTTGACTTTAGTATCTATATGTCTCATTTGCATGAACCTGGTGCTGTTCAACTTAACTAATGAAACTTGATAGGAGCAAGCAAAAAAAAAAAAGAAAGAAACTTGCCTTAACACAACTGATTATAACTCTTGTAACTTTTTCTGCCTCCATGACACAGCAAGATAGAAATGTTACCTGAAATTGTTAGGTATAAATCTACCACGTTGAGCAATACAGTGGTAATACTACAGCTTATGATGAAAAGATATTTGTTAGAATTTGGCCCATACATACAAAACACAAGAGGCTTTTCACTGTTACAAACACCATGTGACACTCTAGAGTGATGGACTTGCTAAGGCAAGGAAAGCATTCACACCCTGGCCCTCGAGAGTGCCATTTCACTGTTTAATAAGCTGAGCTGTACAATCTCCATGTACTGACACAGAACCAGATACAACAAGCTCAGAGAAGGAGAGAGAAAGAGAGAGGAGAGAGAGAGCTTGAACTGAGAAGAGGTAGGTTAAATTGTTTAGTGCTAAATAAAAACAAGATTGAAAATAATATGATGCGTACAAGACTACCCAAATAAAATTTCATTCAATTTCAACATTTTGGTTTATCATTATTATTATCTTTGACACTTGAGAAACTAGATAAGATTGCTTCTAGAAACTCACTGATCATGGTACACATTGGGTATAGCATGGATGCCCGTTCCTACAATGTCTTATTTGTTAAATATGTAATCAGAAACCCGATTCTTTGTTTCCTCTCTATGATTCTATGACACTGATGTCGCAAGAGACTCCGTAAACCAGAGCATGCTGAAAAATCTTGCATGACAAGTTGCCCTCATGCAACTCAAGAGGGATATGTTTACCCTTTACCCCTGCCTCTATGGTTATATTTAGAGTTCAACATGAGGGAAAGTGTAAACCTACTTCCACTGCTATCTGACACAAGTCACAGGTGGATACACACTCCACCATCTACGACCAATCCTGTGCCTCCCGTACAGGCTTGGCATGCTCTCAGAGCGTACACTTTATTAAGGATTAAATTGTTGTTGTTTTTCTTTAATTGTCCAGAAAGTTTCTGAGCAACTACAGTGTTAGAGAAAGTAGCTTTATGAATAGTAGCTTTATTTGTTTGGGAGCAACGCATTCTGAATTCAACATACATTTTACATACATACATACATACATACATACATACATACATACATACATACATACATACATACATACATACTCCATTTTACTTTCTCTGAAGTGTCTTTCACGTTCACCTGTCTGTTACCTTCAAGTGTGTAGCTGTCTCCTTTACAACATCATGAAGTCACATGTGGTGTGGCTGCCATATTTGTGCGTAGACTGAAGGATAGCGATCTTTTTATGTGATTGCCAAAGCCTGGAGTCAAACCACCTGATGATTCAGCACAAAGCCACAGGGTGATTTTCAGCTTGCTCACACATGCAGGCCTGTGAGTAAGCGTTCAATAAAGTGCCATACTGCTGATCTGGCAATAATAGACTTTAATAGAGCTTCCCACAAATTGCGAGACCTATGAACTCC